GTGAACCTAGATCCACCCCCCATAAAATACTGTGTTAATTTTGGAACCACGTAAAAACCTTTAATCGATGGTGATCTTTAATTGGAGTGGTCTAATTAGACATTTGATATATTTTAATTTATTTGTTAAGTGTACAGTATGATAGACACTCTAATAGAGAATAACACTCTCATGGGCAATAATATTATGTGAGTATCTTGACCTGAGAAGAAAGTGAATAATAGGCTATTTAACAAGACAAAATAAAAGCAGAAAGTCCTACAGTTTTTTTAAGTTCATGATAGGAATTGATTTAGTGGGTATTTTTATATTTTAATTATTTAAAATTTCAACTTCCATACTCTTGTGTTGGAGTTAAACAATTTTTGGGTGTAATTTGAAAAATATATGCAGCTGTAATTTTCAAATAAAGTTATTTCAGTTAGTTTTTTGACAAAACTTATGTAGGAATTAATGATTTATTCATTTGCTTGATGTGTACGAAAATAACTGATCCTGTTTTTTTTTTTTTTTTTTTTTATCTTTTTTTCTTCTTTCTTCCCAAGGTATTGAGTGCACTGGATGAATTTGTTCGGCAAGAAGAGTTGAAGTCAACAGCGGACAATGTGTACAGGATCATGAGTAACAGTTGGGCACATTCCATTCGCTTCGTCTGCCGTGAAGGTTACGCAATACGTGACTACATTTGCGGTAAGGATGTTTAAAGAGTCTGGGCATGTCGCGTTGAACACTGATCGAGTAGTCGGCGTTCAAAGCGACTGATTCCTGGACATGGATTCCTGAATTTATTTGATTGGTTTCTAAATGATGCAGGACACACTTTGTAACAGTAAAGCTTGATATATAATATGTTAACCAAGACATCGGTCTTAAATTTTTGCAAGACCTGAGGTGACTGGCCAAAATCAAATGATTGATGACAAATATGCTGCAGAATATGTTTGTCTTCAACATGAATATTACATCGAGTTGCCTTCATTTGCCAATTATCTGCTAAACACATTTTAAAGATGCATTGCAGTACACACAACTTCCTCATGTAGCCTAGTTCTTTTAATGATGTTAACTCAAATGCAACAGCATTTTTTACTTTCTGACTTTTTTAGCATTTTTTTTTTGCCCTGTTCTGAATATGTCTGTAGTGGTAAGCTCTCCAATTCATTTTATTTCACATATCAGTGACATGTCCGCCAGGCTCATCGAGTAAGGGGGAGGCTTGTCACCTTTGCGGGCAAGGGTATTATCAGAGTAACTTCACATCACGTAATTGCACCGCTTGCCCTCATGGCCACGTTACTAAATCAAAAGGAAGTACCAGCCTGGATCAATGCTATGGTAAGTGTATAGCATTGATGAAATTTATATTTTCTTTGCTAAGTTCTGGATTCTATAAGTAAATAAGATGAAGATACTAATTAAAATTTAACTAGCTGTATGTTTAATGAATGTCTTGAATATGCAGATATACTGTATATCACTTATATGTGCTTAATTATAGCTTTTAATATTCACATTTTTGCTTGCTGTCAGTCCATTAGGCCCAGAAATATTGGTATTTAAATACAATACACAATATATATAAATTCAAGATGCCTAATAATACAAACAATAATTTTTTTTTTATCTCTTTCTAGTAGAGAAACTTGGAGAGAAGATTCTTGGTGGAATAATCGGTGGTGTTGGTACAATAGCGTGCATATTATTTGTGATTATTTATAGGTAGGTATTTTTATAGGTGTAATCACTGCCTTGTGGTATGGTTAGATGCATGTTTTCTTATATTCTGAGAGTCCTCTTTTACTCGCCTGAGTG